AGCACCATCAATTTTTTTTTCTCTATTTTTTCATTTAAAATAATATAAAATAAACCCTACTCAATAAGTCAAAATTTCATTGTTGTCACGATTAATTATTTTTAGCTTACTACTCAAAGACTTTAAAACATTCATTGCAGACATGTTAATATCGAATAAGAAAAGAGCTATCTCTCTAAAATTGTTGAAAAAATTAAGAGTACAAATAAATAAATATTATATTTATCAAGAAAGTCAATATCATGAACACGATAAATACTTCAAATAAAAAAAAACAAAATAATTAGTAACAACCAATTAAACATAAAAAGTAAATTAAATTTAAGAATAGTAAACGTGAAGTATTATTCTTAGAGAGAAAAAATTCTTATTAACTAGTAGTTTGAACTTTATATTACGCCCTTCTCCATATTGTTTATGTGTAACTAGAGGGATCTAGACACTTCGTGTCCCTAATAATTATACACAGACAACATATTATAAGGTTAAGTGTAATTATTCAAAGAATATATATTTTTTTTTTTATATTTGAAGGGTATAATGGTTCACTCAAATGTAGAGACCAAAAATAGTTTCATATTTCAATATTCCTTTATAATATGTATAGATGAAATATTTCTGAACTAAAATACGTTGCTCCAAAAATATTTAATAATATTAAAAAAATTTGAGTGAGAGATAACTTTCACTTTTGTGATGTATGTTATATATTTTACGTTTCCTCGCATGGTATTTATAGAAAGAAAAACACCTCTGTGTATCTCCACAAAATAAAAACCGTGAAAGCGTATTGTGTCGCAAGATATGCACCAACGTGACCAACCAAGAGCAACTTGCATTCTGTAGAAAAAGCATCGTGCAACAACCAACAATACAACGTAATAAAACCAACTTAAAATAATAAGTTAAATGGATAAAAAGAAATTAATTATAAAAAAAAACTAAAATCCAAGACTTGGTCTAAGATACTAGAAACTAGAAAGGACCGGCCGCACATTGTACGTAACAAAAGTTAAAAGAATAATAACTAGAATATTAATTAAATTTAAATGGACATATATAATTTAAATTTTAAATTATAACATTAATGTTCAACGAAGTATAGTATCATACGTTGTTATTTTATCAAGTTGAAACTTCACTTGGTAATTTATTTAAGAATATATTACTAAATTCTACGTTAAATGTATATGTATATTATCAAATAAATACAAATTTTCGCTACATGAATTCTCCTAAATTTAAACTTAGTAGAGTTTAAATTTCACCTGATAATATATTTAAGTGTGTATTATACTATTATTAAGTTCTGCGTTAAATTTAAATGAATATTACCGAATAGATACAAATTCTTGTGACATCAATTCTGCTAAATATAAACCAAAGAGAGTTGAAATTTCACCTGATAATATATTTAAGTGTATATTATTGAGTTGTGCGTTAAATGTAAATTCAATATTACCCAATACATACAATTTCTCGTTTCATCAAATTTTGCTAAATTTAAACCAAACAGACACAAAATTAACTACACACGATTACTGTGCACTGGCTATTCTCATGGTGACAGTGATTCTTCCATGGAATCACACATTCAACAATTTTACTTCAGTGAAGAGATATGAAGACACAGGGTCTAGATGGGACTCACTTGATGACAAATGAGTCTCACCTAGGCTTTATGTCTTCTTTTGTCGCTGCATGTACAGTGGCTGACGAGAATCCGTGTCCATCATGAATTGAAACATAGCTCATTGCTTTTTCCTTATCCATGTAAATAATGAGTGGTCCAATGCATGAGGCTCCCACCTAATGGGGGTATGAGAAAGATAGATGTGTGCAAACTTTGTAAGTTGGAAGGTTGTTTTCAGATTTTAAACTACTACCATCTTTGCTTCACAAGACAACAACCTTGACGGCTAGACATTCAATAAGGTAATTAAGGTCATTGTTTAGAGTCTCTAAATTTACAAGATTTTTAATTTTTTTTAATAGTAGTATTATTAATATAAATTAATTTTTAAAAAATTAATATTTGAGATAAGGCCCAATATTTTATAAGACACATATTTTACATATTTTATATATCTTATTTTCTTATTAAAATTACTTAAAAGCCAATAACCTATTTATTAGTTTTATAAATGAAAAGTCACTTAATGGACATTACTACTTATTTTTGTCTTTTATAGATGGTAGATTTTCAACCTCTTTATTTTCTCTCTAGTCTATCTCTTTCTTATTCTCTCTCTATTTTCATCTTCAATTCCTTCTTCACGTCTAATTTGAGAACTTGACTAGGAGTAATACGGTCCTACTCTGCCTTTTTTCTTGATTGATTCCTACTCTGTAAGATCCTTAAAACTTAATATAATTCTGGGTGCTGATTTATTCTTTGTTTGCTTTTTCTACCAAACGGTGGAAAATTTTACAAGAAAATGTATCTAAGTTTTCAGTTAAATCACTATCTCAAACTAGATGGGAATGTAGAATTGAAAGCATCAAAGCCATAAAGTTTCAAGCGCCAAAAATAAGGAATGCACTTGTTTAATTATCGAAAACTAGTGAAGATCCTAAGATAAAGAGCGAAGCAATGTGTTTAGCAACTTATGAGATGAAGAATTTTAAATTTTTTATTAGGAATGAATATTTGGTATGATATACTTTTTGCGGTTAATTCTGTAAGTAAGATCATGCAATCTAAAGATATGCATATAGATATTGCTATAGATCACTTCAGAGGCCTTATAACTTATTTAAAAAATTATAAGGAAAATGGTTTTGCATTTGCATTAGAATCCACCAAAGAAATGGTTATTGAACTGGATATAGAGCCTAAGGTCAATGAAAAACCTAAGATTCATAGGAAAAAAAATATTTGGATGACATTGATAGTGACGAAATAGCTCATTCTGTTGAAGATTCTTTTCGCATTGATTATTTTTTGTATATATTAAATCAATCTATTTCTGCTATTGAGAGTCAATTTGAACAATTTTTAGAATATGAAAACATGTTTGGTTTTTTATTTGATTCAAAAAAATTTAAAAATTTAGGAGAAGATGAATTGAAAAAATATTGTATCAAACTTGAAAAGATTGAGTTTTTATGACCTTTCTGATATTGATGGCCTTGATTTGTTTTCAGAATTAAATTTATTGAAAGAAATTCTAACAAATGAAATTAACACACCATTAACAATATTGAACTATATAAAAAAATCATGTTCTTTTTCAAATACATACATTGCTTATAGAATATTATTAACATTACATGTATCTATGTTAACTGCCGAAAGAAGTTTTTCAAAATTAAAATTGATTAAATCATATTTAAGATCAACTATACTACAAGATAAATTGAATGGTTAACTATATTATCTATTAAGAGTGAGATGTTATAATTACTTCATTATAAAACTTTAATAAATAATTTTAAAACTCAAAAAGCTAGAAAAATAACATAAAAATTATTAGGCTATATTAATATAGGTCCCTGTCTTAATTTTTGCTTAAGGCCTCAAAATTCTTAGATACGCCCCGATTGTTGTAAATTTGTAACCAAACTTATCCTCAAAGAAAGATGAATTTTATAACTACTAGTGAATTTTGTACCCTTTTTCAGGTTTGTGATACATGCATGTCGGCGAATGAAAGAGAAGTCATACATGGTATATACAGCTGCTGCTTGCCTTGGGGTTTCTGCAATAAGTGATATCTTTAAAGAGGTATTGGAACCCTATCATGCAATGCAATGTTGATTTCATGTTGAAAACTTTTATTCTTTATTAGTTGGTCAGCTTTCTATGAAATATCATGTCCCATTTGGAGGTTGGGAAACAATTTAAGACAGGTAATGATATTTTTGGTAACTAAATGTGCTGACTGTCCATTACTTAAGTATCTTGACTTACTTCACACTTGTTGTCTGTTCTCCTTCTTGCGTTAATTTCATAATTCAAAACACTTTCTGTTCTTTTAATTGTATTTATTGCTAGTAATGATTGGATATGGATATGGTGGTTTGAATTCGGTGGGTTACAGTGAGCCACTGACTTATGGTTCTCTACACCATCAACACTTCTATTGATACTTTATGGATGTTCCTATTTGTGGCTTATCACCGGCTCTCTAGCCTCTCCCTGTTTCATCTCCCGCAGGAATGTGCATTGCATTATTTTTTTAAAAATAAATTGATCCTTTTTTTTTAATTTGTTTTCCTTTTAATATTTTCCCTTACTCAAACAGAGGTGAGGTTTTTACTCGCTGTTGTAAGGAAAGGTGAGAGTTCGATTCTACCTGATATGGATCAGCTGATTATGCTGATCTACTCTTCATAGTGCCATACAACCATTCATAATCTCTGTTGTGTACCATGTTGTATCTAACATTGCAGATTTTTATAAGAGATCATTTCAGTCCTCTGCCTGAGCTTTGATGTTCTTGGCTGATGAACCACTTCAATTATTTAATTATTTTGAAGGTTGATATCTATTTCGTCTCTTCATCTTGCTCTCCTAAATGGAGCAGCCAACAAAGTCAGCCAAAACTGGATCTCTCTAAATATGCATAATATTATTTTCTTGAGGGCTATCTAAATTTCATATGACAGGACTTTTGTTTCATAATGTTGTAGTGGTATCATTCTTTGTTTAGTTTCAACTATATATATGAATAGTTAAAGTTAAGGGGAAAATTGGTGAATCAAAGATAATATTTTGGTATAAACTTTAAACATGCTAGGCATTTTCCTTATGACTGGGATGGCGAGCATTCGGTTAATAAGTTTGCCCTGATAAATGTAGTGGAATCACGCTGAACTGAAAGTTGAATTTAATTGCACATGCACTCCTTGTAGGAGAATCTAGTCGTCTGTACAAGGAAAGGGAGAGAGGGTTATTCACAACAGCATTAATTCTATGTGCAGTTAGGGAAAGGTGACAAACACGATAGAATTTTGGTTAGAGGGTCTGATATTAAAAAGTGAAGGGCAAAAAGAGGATGGTGAGGAAGAATTCACTGAGTGTGGATAGGCGGATAGCAGACCCTCAAAATGCGCTCTTTCTTTCATTTTCAGTGAGAGGTATGTATATTTGTATAGGTCTTCCCTGAACTGATATCTCTATAATATCAGAGGAGAGAAGTGTTTTCGGTTGTTTCTTTGATAAAACTATACCTGAATTCCAGGTTCCTAATCGGAACTATGGTAATGGAATTCTTTTACCTAGAGTGGGAAATGTAATAGGTACTACGTAGGCAGAGTTGAGGACCTATTGTGTTTCTGTAGCAATTTACAAGGTTGGTGACCACTAGACTTGTAGAATAAATGGCCACATTAACAAAAATGAGATTAATAGTTCCTCGTCAGCCTACTGCATCTTTGGTATAATAAGGGATTCTGTTTTTATAATAAATTTGAAAAGGAATTCTTTTGTTTTTAACAGCCTACCCTCTAAATTTTTGAAGGTTTAAATAAAGCTAGGCGCCTGGGAAAGTATAGTTTAATTCCAATGATATCACTTGCTCAAACTCTTTTAAAAAAAACTTTAGAATAAATTTTAAATCCTCCTCTCCTTTTCTCCACACGCTCTGTGTGCACACACAAAAGAAGAAAAACCCCTCAAAAACTTGTTCTCCATGTACTGCATGACGAAGTAGCATTTTTGGTTCATAAATCTTGTATGTGCATATTTACTAATTTACTGATTAGAACAAAACAACCCCCACTTGCCACTTTGCAAAGATATCTCCTCTGAAATTTTTGTTCCTGACATGTGAGGTAAGCATAAACTTGATGTAGAAAATTGTTGATGACTCTCATGGTTAAATGAATTTTCAAATTGCTGGCCAAAAAATGGGGGAGATTTTGTTTTTTATATTGTTATTTCTCTAATATTGCTTTGTTCTTCTGGCCGAGACTACTGAATAGTTAGGGGCAGCCTCTTCCATTAAACATAGTTTGTGCAGCTATCTTGATGTGAATCTGATGGGAGCACTCAAAGGACTTGGAGGACCAATGACTAGGGTTTTCTTAGTGGGTGTTTTTAGTACTTGTAATTAGTAAATAAAGGCCTAAAACTCTTGTTAAAGTGGCTGCCAACTCTTGTTTGGGCTGCACCACTTATTGGGCTAGTTATTAGGCAAGTTGTTTTTAGTTAAATAAGGTCCAAAACCTTTGGGATGAATCAGCCATGAGGCATACCAAAGGGTGCACGAATTTAGCATGTGTTTTTAATGTTTTGTCATTAGTGGTCATAATTGTTAGGCTTAGTGGAGTTCAACAATTGCCCACTAAAGTATTTTTTTTAATGTTTTGTCATTAGTGGTCATAATTGATAGGCTTAGTGGAGTCCATTAATTGCCCACTAATGTAAGTGAAAGGTCTTGGTTGTAAGCGTATAAGCTGCCCCACTGGGATGAATAAAAGATAGACAAGAATTTGAGTTTTAATAAAAAAAAACTAAGTGAGAGTGATTCTCCAATTGTTCTTGAGTGATTCAAGAATTTGGGCATATCAAAGGATCATCCACAATTCTTTGTGTGAAGCCTTCCTTGGAAGAGTGATTCTTCCTCCATTCCTTTACCGTTTCCTTTCCTCCATTTCTTACCTCAATCCATATTTTTTTATATTAATTTATTAATTATGAAGTTTCAAACCTAGAAGGTGATAGACCTACCACTGCTGGGAGGGTATTCGCCTTGACTAGGGCTGAAGCTTCCACTTCATCTGACCTTGTGAAGGGGAAGGGCAAAGCTGCTAGTAAGGATGTGATGATTTTATTTGATTCTGGAGCTTCTCACTCTTTTATTTCGTATGCATGTGCTGCAATGTTGGGTGTGCCGGTGTGTGATTTAGGGTTGAGACTGTTAGTATTGATGCCTGCTTATGCTTTTGTGGTTGCTTCCGAGCTGTGTGCTAGTTGTCCGATAGTGGTGAATGAGAAGAAGTATAAGGTAAACTTGATTTGTTTGCCTTTATTTGATATTGACATAATCTTAGGGATGGATTGGTTGTCTGCCAATCGCATCCTTGTAGATTGTGTCAATAAGAGGTTGATCTTTCCTCAAGTGGAGGATGAACTGTTGATTTCAGCTAGCCAAGCTGAAACATTGATGAGAGACAGAGCAGAGTGTTATATTCTGCTTGCTGCTATGAGTGTGGAGACCGAGAGACTCGTTGCTGAGATTGAGGTTATGAAAGAATTTGCTGAGGTGTTTTCAGATGAGGTGCCTGGGTTGCCTCCTACTAAGGAGATGGAGTTCAGCATTGATTTGGTTCCTAGTGCAGGGCCAGTGTTGGTTACACCCTATAGGATGACCCCAACAGAGTTGGTTGAGCTGAAAAGTTAGTTGGAAGATTTGCTGGAGAAGCAGTTGGTGAGGCTGAGTGTATCTCCGTGAGGTGCTCCCGTGTTGTTGGTGAAGAAGAAGGATAGAGGTAGTCGATTGTGTGTTGATTACCGGCAGTTGAACAAATTGACCATTAAGAACAAATATCCACTTTCCCGGATAGATGACTTAATTGATCAATTGAAGGGAGCATCGGTATTCTCCAAGATTGACTTGAGGTCAAGATATCACTAGATCAGGGTGAAGCACCAAGGAGGGATGTCGATGTCTGACTATGCGATGAGATTCGAGCACCTGGCTTGTTTCTATTCGCAAACTATTTCTAAGGCCTGGAAATGCAGGAAGTTTGCTGAGGGTTTAAGATAGAAGTTGAAGAGGGTGGTGGTGCCTATGGCCATCACGGAATTTCCGGCCTTAGTTGAGAAGGCGAAAGTTGTTGAGCAGTTGGAAGGTGACAACCTTGTGGTGAAGACTGCTGAGGGACCAACTAGGTCCAAGAAAGGTGAAGGTCAGAGGAAGCCATATGATAGGTCCCAACCACAGCAAGGGGGTCCTGTCATAAGGTAACCTACTGATGCTAATAGAGGTGGAAAACAGGGTGGAGGTGCCACTCTCAAATGCTATAGGTGTGCTGGACCCCACTTTGTTCGGGACTGTCCTCACACTAAGATCCGGTGTTTCAGATGCTATTGGGTCATGAGTCGACCAACTGTCCTGCCAGGAATCGACCGAATAGGGGTGCTCCGAGAGGTGATAGACCTACCACTGCTGGGAGGGTATTCGCCTTGACTAGGGCTGAAGCTTCCACTTCATCTGACCTTGTGAAGGGGAAGGGCAAAGCTGCTAGTAAGGATGTGATGATTTTATTTGATTCTGGAGCTTCTCACTCTTTTATTTCGTATGCATGTGCTGCAATGTTGGGTGTGCCGGTGTGTGATTTAGGGTTGAGACTGTTAGTATTGATGCCTGCTTATGCTTTTGTGGTTGCTTCCGAGCTGTGTGCTAGTTGTCCGATAGTGGTGAATGAGAAGAAGTATAAGGTAAACTTGATTTGTTTGCCTTTATTTGATATTGACATAATCTTAGGGATGGATTGGTTGTCTGCCAATCGCATCCTTGTAGATTGTGTCAATAAGTCGGACCGAGCTGTGTGCTAGTTGTCCGATAGTGGTGAATGAGAAGAAGTATAAGGTAAACTTGATTTGTTTGCCTTTATTTGATATTGACATAATCTTAGGGATGGATTGGTTGTCTGCCAATCGCATCCTTGTAGATTGTGTCAATAAGAGGTTGATCTTTCCTCAAGTGGAGGATGAACTGTTGATAATAAAAGATAGACAAGAATTTGAGTTTTAATAAAAAAAAAACTAAGTGAGAGTGATTCTCCGATTGTTCTCGAGTGATTCAAGAATTTGGGCATATCAAAGGATCATCCACAATTTTTTGTGTGAAACCTTCCTTGGAAGAGTGATTCTTCCTCCATTCCTTTACCGTTTCCTTCCCTCCATTTCTAGCATCTAATTTCTTTACCTACATTCCAAAAATTAAGTCCAAGATTGAACCAAAAGATCTTTCTTCAACCCTTGTGCAATTGGGAATCTTATCATATCTTATTGTGTTAAAGAGTTATGTCATTTTGCTCCTAAATAAGTGTTATGAATAATCACTAATTAATGCATAACCAAGATTACTCAGATCATTTTGCTTTGTAATAATTAGTTTCTCTTCTCATTGTTCATCTTGTTTATAATAATGCAGAAGTAATTCAAGCAACCACCTGTGGAAAAGAAAGAGGATTCTTCTCAATGGGAGGCCTCTACATTTGTTAGCGGGCACCAGGGAAATGTTTTTGACATCTTTTCTGTATTGCAAATGCAAGACAAACATGAACCATCAGGTACTGACTGAAGGAAACGTTACTCTGTTCATGACAGATTAAGGATACCTGTTTCTTATGATGATGACCTGCTTGGATTAAGTGCAGATGATGATGCAAGCTGACCCTGGATGAAAATTGAGAAAGGACCTTCATCCTGTGGCAATGTTTTTTTCTTCGTCATAGATGGAAACCTACTGATGCAACCATTCCTCATTCTCTCTTTTAAACATTTTACAACCTTGTTTCTGCTGTTATTACTTTTTGCTTTGTCACCATTGTTTTTGCGTCTGTGAAACAAGTTCACAGATGGAGCATTATTTTCTATTTGGACTTTGTCATGTGTTGAAAGGAGAGGGTATTTAGTATAGTATAAGCTTTTTGAAGCACTTAAAATGGTAATAAAATCATTTTAATGAAAGATATATAGTTGGTTTAAAGTGTCTGGTTATTTAGTATCTTATTAAGAGCTGCATAAGTTTCGTATGGATGATGAATCGGAAATTATTTGTTGCTAGGTGAACCCTCCCACAATTTTATTAAAAAGAGTTAATTAAAAAGAAAGATAAATATAAAAAATAAAAATTTAGTTTAAATTATAAAAATTATAAGATAAAGTGAATGAAATTATAAGAACTAAAAAAATATTTTAACCTAATATTAACCATGTTTGCTTTTGAAAGATAAAACTAATATTTTAGTCTTCTAAATATGAACTATACTATCAAATCAATCATGTAGTTAACATTATTTTGAACTAATTCGGCCAATAAGATTTCATATTTTATAGATTTAATGTTTGTTTTTATATAAATTTATGTGTTTTGATAATTTTATAAGAAATAATTTTTTATTTTTTATAAATAAACTCTCAAAAATATTTTTACAAGTTCTTAAACGGTAATCTTTTTACTTTTTAGTCGATCATTGTGATGAATATCATATCTTTTAGTGATTAAGTGTATGTTTGGATTATAATTAGAAAATTAAGTTGAGTTGAACTTAATTTTTTAAATTTAAGTTTAATTAAAAGTGGGTTAAGTTAACTTGATTCATGTTTGGATACTTTTATCATAAAAACACTTTTATCAACTTTAAAATAAAAGTGACAAACTTGTTGCTTTAATTGAAATGGAGGTTGCAACAAAAAAGTCTATTATTCAATGTAATAAGGAGGAAGACAGTGCGATATTTTGTGACTACTCAAAGAATGTTTAAATATACAAACACTAACCCAAACATACTCTAAACCATTCCAAATCCTTGTGCCCACTTGTTACATGTCCTGTATAAAAAATTTAACGTGTGTTTGGATTATTTTTTAATTCTATTAAAATCAATTATAAGATTAAATCAAAGGTTAACCAACAAATAGTTTTTTTTTTTTTAACTTTTTTAATTCTTTACCAGGATTTTGTGGCTCAGAATAGATTATAAGATGTATCCAAATACACTACTAGATTTCAACAAACATTATCCCTGTTTACAAAGCAATTTTTTTTTGGGTACAAATCACAGGGTGTTTTTTCACTGAAACAATTTTATTTCAGCCAATTAGAACTATACTAAACGGTAAAACTCTATCTCTAAATATTTCTTACAAGATTGTATTTCACTATTTCAGCCAAAATTCAAGGGCTACTAACTTAATTTCAGTTTTCATATGCCCGAAGTTGTGGTTTCTTCTGAAGGAAGAGACAAGCCACTGTGCAGTCATCCACCATAGAGGAAGGATACTTCTTTTGCCACGCAGCATTGGCTGCTTCCACCACTGCCCTTGCTGCTGCCTCTTCACTCTCTACACTCCACACAATTGATGCAACCTCACTGTTACTTAGCACATCCCACACCTATAAGCAGCAATAAAACAAAGTCTATGAAAAATGCTTGTGCAAAAAATGATACTCCATTAATTAATTCCAAACACAATGAAGGTATGCTTGAAGTTGGATGTACACTGGAGAACCACATTGAAACCAATTAATTGATGGAGAAATCACTCTGTATTATTTCTGTTGGATGTAGAAAGAAAGAGAGTTGATCCACATTTTTTATTTGGTTACAAACACACTAAATGTATCCAAAAATTCTTTTCCTTTGAATCTCCACATGCAAAATAGAACACTTTGGTATGCAAATAACAGGTACGTACCCCATCACTTGCAAGAACAACAAATTGGTCACTTGATGTTAGGGAATGATAGGAAATATCTGGGATGGCAGTGAGACCGTGATCTTTGAGTAGAAAATCTCCAAAAGCTCGAGACATGGCTAGGCCAGGGGAGTTCTCATTGTTGGGAATCCACACTCGTTGGATATGAGGTTCTTCCTTCAACGCATACACACAACCATTGTTCCTCCTTATTCTTTCTGCTTCTCCTGCATCTCAAATTATATACTAGGTTTTAGTAGTCTGAGATCCCTTTAAGGAGTTGATCACTCCTAACAAATGTTTTTCCATACATAAAACTCGGGAATCGAACCTGACAACATGCTTAAGAGACAAGATTATCTAACATCTATTTGATACATTTTTATTGGTTATTTGAAAGTTAAAATTCACCTATTTGATGGAAATCATTAGAGTCTTACGAGGTAATCCTGGCTTCAAATCTGTGGTCAATTGAATGGCTATGAGTTTTTCATCATAGATTGTTCCCAAAACTGCTCTTGAATCACCAAGATTAGCTATGACAAGACCTTCACCCTGTATATAGTTATTGTTACATTATTTTCATTTCACAATGAACATGAAATCAAATGGGAAAATCTTGAGGGTTCATTTTCATTCACCTGTTTTATGATGACTACAGCAGTGGTTCCACTGCAAGAGTCTACATTCTGTTGAAGCTTCACCTCCTTGTCCATCACCTTGAAAGCACTCACAATTGCTTCTTTCCATTTGTGAAAACTCTCTGTGTCAACATGGTATTTTGGGGAGGTGTTATTACCATTTTCTATCGCACCAATCTTGTCAACAACTTTCTTTTGATCCAATATGAGTGAAGACAAACGACTGTTTACTATTTTGCTCACTATGTGTCCATACCTTCCATGCCCATCATAGACGCCACAAAATGCTCCATCTTCCATCCCATAACCCTTTGGGAATAACCAAGGAAAA